AAATGATTTCTCTGAAGCATTAAAACATGCAATTAACTAGTTAATTAAAATTATGTTTTTAACGTACGAACAACATATCATAAAAATTGCAATGCATAAACAAATAAACACACAAACAAATAAACAAACAAAGGAGTTGATAGAACATAGGTAATAAACGCAAAATGATACATATGATAATGCACAATTTTATCTACGTTTTTAACTTTTTACAAATTAATGACACCAGTATATTAATTTGTCTTAAAAAAGGGACAGATGAAGACAACGTTGATAACAAATCTGAATTGTAGATTATTTGAATCCTTAAACATCTTTACTCCAAGGGTTACGCACACTTACTATATATGCATCCCTAGAGAGTATGACAAAGAAAATGCAAAACTAAGGTAGACTAAGGTAGGTTTTAATGTTGAAGGTAAAAAAAAACAGAATACCGAAATCAAATAACTTTAAAGTTTACAAAACTTTACAGTTAATTGATTTCGGTATTCTTTTTTTAAGTTCACATCATATTAGTGTATATTCTGTCAATTTTTATTCTTTGCTATATTAGCATTGTATGTATATTCCACTTCATAGTGTTTTAATCCTTAGTCCTAAGTAAATCTTGTGTGATATACAAGTACAATTCACTATATTTATGTCTTTTATTTACTTAATCTGAATACTTCTTATCTGTGATCAATTTTATTGCTTTTCATATTAACACTTTTTTTTTTATATATTTATTGACTCAAAAGGGTCATATCCCGGGGGGCCATTTTAGGAATGGGACTCCTCGTCACTTAGAAACCTGGGATATGATACTTTCTATTTCTGTGATAATTATTTCTGCTTTTAAGTAATATATGTGATGATCTCCCTTTACTTGTAATCTAGTGTTTTATTGATATTTTTACATATTTTATCGCATTAATAGCTCTCAAGAGCTAATGTTCTTTGTTTTCATGTATGCGACTTTTAATTAAGTTTCTTGTATCTTGTATAATGTAAACAACGACACAAGTGTGTTTCTATTTACGTTAACTGGTGACATGAAAGGCCAACCGGATTGTCGAGAGCATCGCTGAATTGGACGCTTCGTGCAGGCCCATTATCTCATGTTTAATTTTCCTCATTAACCTAGTTGTCGCAACGAGGTTCTATATCTAGCATCTACATTTCGATTTCAGTGGAAGATTTTCCCTAATGGATATTTTCTATGGCGTTTCAACATAAATATGTTCAAATCTGGAACAAATTATTAAATATTTCTTATAACTTGAATTGAAATGTGACAATGGAGGTTTGTAAACCATGGTTGCGAAAATTTTATAATGGACTTTTTAACAATCAAACGTTATTACTAATTGGTTATTGACTAGAATAATGAACAATTTCTGAAACAGCAATGCAAATATTAAATACATATCAAAAAGCCTTAAATCATCAAACAAAAGCAGTTCAGATCACAGACGTATAGGTAGGGCTCATATGAAACAGCCTAATGAATTCCATAAATGATACATTAATAATTCCCGTATTTAATACATGTGTACAACTGCTTTTTTCAGGATAAAACAAATAGATCATCAACATGTGCATTGACACAGACAAACATGAAAACTTTACAGAAACAAATAGTATGTCAATCATTTCAACTTCTCTTTCAACTCCAATTTACTCCGAGATATTGAAAATAAGCCGCGACTTAATTTATTAAGAAATCCCATTCTTATTTTCGAAGACGTCTTATTTTTTAATGCAGTCTTTCGAACCTTTTGAACGTTCCATGCAACAGTTGCATTATAGTTTAAAATATTCAAAACAAATTACCGTAAAAATTTGTGGCACTCGCCGTTTTTTATTTTCATCTTATTTTTACTTTGGTGCTGAACCAAAGTTTGAAGGCGGAGCGCTTGAATTACAAACATGTAGCTATAGATATTTGCTGTTGCGATAACAAAAACATTGGAGATTTGCAAGGTCCACCATTAATTGCATGGAGTCCAAGACATAATTTCAAGGCTAGCTTATTTTCGAAGCCGGCTAACCTTCGGGATATCTTTGAATGTTATGATTCACATGCCGTTTATAGCCAAATTAATCGGTAACTTCTCTTCTTTTAGGTTATCCAGACTGTCATATTCGTTTTTACAAAATTCCTGTGCGATTTGAAATTGGGAAAATTATTCATGATTGCATTACTTTGGAAATATTCTCAAAAAAAAGAAGACAGAAAGTCATAAGCACTTTCAAGGAAGTCGGTAAATCATGGGGAAGGAACGGAATGATAGGACCGTGGAAAATGATAATTAATATTGTGCCGTAACGAACGAAGCCCATCTATCGAAGCAACATTCAAAAGATAATGTAATTCATACTCATGCAACTACATGCCCCCCTGAGAGAAAATTGTGTTCCTTACTCGAACTTAGCTATATTGAATTTAGTTGAAAACTAAGTAAAGATATAGGAAATGTGTTATAAAAACAAATCATACGGTTATTCGATAGTTTATCATGAAATTCACAAAAAAAAGCGCACCGCAGAAGATTGTGCCACTACTTTTCTACTGTATACAAGACTAAAAAGATTGGATCTTACAAAATATTCTTTCGTTATTTAAGACAATTATAAGTTGCTGGTCTTTTTAGGAAGTTAAAAACATTTCGAAATTATCCCCAATAATGTTCCAGAAAAAATATTCAGCATAATAAGCAATGAGCAATGGTGGAGTTGTTATGCTTCCTGCTTTATACTTAATAAATTGATCCGAACCGAAAATCCCAACAGAAAGAGATCAAACTGAGTAATCACTGACAATGTCTGCTGCTCACAAATGTACAGATTACCTGTATTCAACATTGCTGCGTTCTCCTTGATCATAGAAAATGCTGCCAATATTGGTTTGGTTTGGTTTGGTTAAATTTTGTTTAACGTCCTATGAACAGCAAAGGTCATTTAAGGACGTGCATCAATGTGTGAAGTGTATGCGTGCTTGCGTGTGTGTATGTAGCAGGAGACAGGGTATGTTGGTGTGCTCACTTCCTTGTAAAAGCGCGGATCTGATGCCGACTTTATAGTGCAATCTCACTGAAGTGCCTTGCCGAAGGGACCAAGCACAGCATTCCGCCCGGTCACATTATACTGACAACGGGTGAACCAGTTGCTGCCATTCCCCTAAATGCTGAACGTTAAGCAGGGAATAACAACTACCATTTTTAAGGACTTTGGTATGTCCCGGCCTGGGGACAGAACCCATTGCCTTCCTCACTTAGGCAAACGCTCAACAGTTAAGCCAACAGTGAGGTGTTGCCAAGCAAGGCGTAAGGAAATAAAAGGTAGTAGCAAGAAGAAAGAAAGATAAAGATCCCAAATATTGCAATCAGCGCAGCAGATTTATTATCGTCGCTTTTGTGTCCCCTAATAGCATGAAGAATAAACACAAAAAAGAACCAGCTGATTTTCTTAAGGGAGACTGTTAAGTTTTAATGTGGATGGTAATAAAGGTGGGAAGGTTTGTTTGTATGATACATGATGCATGGTTAAAGCATTCTAATAGCAGTTTATCTACGTAGGAAATGTTATTAGGTATTTATATAGTGACTGTGAATGTTATTGTACAATTTAGTAATATTGAGTAACGTTGTTCTTAACTAATATATTTTATGAATGTGTATCTACTTAACGCATCTCACAACTGAACGGAATCAATCTGCAAGCGTTTCAATACACACAGGTTTCGGTACCTACAAATGAGATTTATTGTTCCTTTTAGTAAAGCATAATAGACTAAATTTATATAAGTATATGAGACACCGTCCGGCTTTTAAACTCAAGTTCGCTTTGCTTTTTACCACAGATTTACCTTTTATAATAACCGATCCACTGCCAAATGAAATAAGACAACCATATCAATGGCGGCACTTAACCTAACCAAGTTATATAACGCGTTATCCAACTTTAAACCGTTCTTATAAGGATAATCTTATAGTGAAAGACTGTGTTCCTCCCTGGGCCTCCCCAGTTTACAATATAAAGGAATGAGAGGAGTTGTCGTACAACTCCACAAAATCATAAATGACATTGACGTTTTGGACCAAGACAAGATTATTAAAATGGCTACCTTGGTCACAACAAGAGGAGACTCATCAACATTGAACAAGAGAAGGATGAGGCTCAACGTAACCAAGAACCCGTACTGTAGTAGGGTCGTGGACGTGTGGAACTCTCTCCCAAATATATTTGAAGCGGTCCCCCTACCCGAATAGTTTTAAATCCACAGGGAGAGTTTCACATCAAGGGCGATAGCTCATAATGGCTTAACCAATACTGTTACATCTCCCTAACAAGTTTATATGATGTAATAAACTGACAGAATGGAATTATTTTTAAAGCCAATAAAATAAAGTTTTACTTATTTTCAAAGTATAATTAAAATACATTCAAATTTTAGCACAGTCTCTTGTTGTAATCTAAATACCGCACTAGAAACGTTGAACTAGTAGAACTTGAATTAAACCAACACAAAATTACAGTTACTGTCTCTATAGTACCTTAAATCTGTAATGCGAAATTAGCTGTCCTTAACTCGTGGGGGTACTTTTATTTCGCGACCGCTGACACGACTAAATTTCGCATTCTGGACTGATACACTATCAGCACATTTTACGTTTTTGTTCACATTCACGACTGATGGACTTTCCGTGCACTTTGACTCATTTGACAGTTTGACATCATTTGACGGTGTTACGTCATCACATATGACATCATCGATTGGTACGGATTTCTGAGTGGTGATGTCTGCAAAGTTCTCCTTGGTATGAAACAAGTCTCTCCTGTTCCTCCTGACTTTTCCTCCTTCATGTTCCACAATGTAGGATGTAGAGGTGGATACTTTTCCTACAACTTTACCTGGAGCTAATGAAGCTTTGGTTTATGTTTGGTGCAACAAACCGGATATTGTCTCAAACATGTAAGGGTGGTAAAGAATGCGTTCCTCTGTCAAAATATACCTTCTGGCGTGCTTTCTGCTCCTCCAAAGATGACTTGATGGCACAAGGTTCGAAACCTAATGGGTTTAACTGAGTCCGCTTAGCAGGTAGCGTTGTCCTTGTAGCCCTGCCTAAGAGCAGCTGTGATGGTGAGAGTTCTATACCAGTTATCGGGATATTCCTCAGTTCCATAAGGGCCAAATAGGGGTCCTTGCCGTCGTCTCGGGCCTTTTTGAATAGTCGTTTCACAGTTTGAACAGAACGTTTTGCGAGTCCATTGCTTTGTGGGTATCTCGGAGACGAAGTAGTGTGTTCGATGTGGTATGCTCGCGAAAAGGACTTGAACTCATAACTCGCGAACTCTTGGCCATTGTCACTGATAATTTCTTCAGGAATGCCATATCTGGCAAACTGCTGCTTCAAAACGTTGATTACAGTTGCTGACTTTTCATCTGACACATTGTTTACCTCGATGAATTTCGAAAAGTAATCAACAGTTACAAGGTATTTCAGGCCATCCAATACCATCATATCGACCGCGATCTTTTGCCACGGCCTATCGGGCGTCTCGTGTTGAATCAACGGTTCCTTTGGCTGCGCGTTTCGCCACCACGTCCTCTATCTGTTTTGTGATTCCAGGCCAGAACACTGCAGTTCTTGCTCTCTGAATACGCTTAGTCTTGCCTAAGTGACTGCTATGCAATGTCTTCAACATTTCCGGTCTCAGTGTTGTCGGTGTAATGATTCGATTGCCTTTTAACAAAAGTCCGTCCACTACACTGATCTCGTCCCTAAAATTCCACCTGGGTGTTAAATCCGGGTCAAGGCTATGCTTGTTGTGAGGCCATCCTTCCATCACGGTCTGTTTCAGCTTGGCTAATACGCGGTCGTGGTCCGTTTCTCTCGTGAAGTGTCTGGTCTTCTTCAGACATATGGGTACAGTGCCAACCACGTGTACTTCAAACTCATCCACGTCATTCTCCATATCATGAATCGGTGCGACCGAACGACTAAGAGTATCGGCAATGTACAACTCTTTGCCTGGACGGTAAGATACAACCAAGTCGTATTGCTGTACTTTTAGCATCATACGTTGGAGTCTAGGAGGGGCACTCGACAATGGCTTTTTGAACAAGCTCTCCAGGGGCTTATGAACAGTTTCAACCTGAACAGTCTTTCCATACACGTATTCGTGGAATTTCTTCAGTCCGCACACAATTCCTAGCATTTCCTTCTCAATCTGAGCATAGTTCTTTTCGGCCCTGTTTAAATAGTATTGTTAATTAATTATCTCGTTAATATCGGTAATAAATTTAGCCAATAATATCAATACATGTTGTGTTACATAATTGAATAGTGTATGAAATTTGAATGTGCTTGGTCTTTCATAATAATATCTGGACATATATTGAGTATTGGTTGTTGTGTACAGTTAAACAGATAATGGAATTCGTCGCCAGTTTTTCTTAAATAACATAAATTACATCATCTATTTCCACGTAGTATATTTGACCACCTACCACTTTCATCTGGTAAGTTAGTATTACATGTTCTGAATTTACAATACGCTTTGGCTAGTTTCGGAGGGAGTTCTAGTAAGTGTTTTTCTAAACAACGTTCGTAAATGTTGTACTTATAGATTATATAGTCGATTCCTTTCGGAGAGGTATACATTTCATTTCTCCAGTATGATATAAATTTACCCTTGAGTTTATTAAAAATGGTACTCTTAAGATCAATATTTGAAACGAAAATACAGATACAAAATACAGTTCAACAACTGCTACGTCGAACTCTTTCAATAAAAAAGTCGTAGTCCTAGGATTGCCTTTCTAAATAAACGCTAGAAATGCGAAGAAGGAAACTTCTTTTCAACACTTAAGTATGGCGCTGAAAAGGTTCAATGAAAGGTAAAACAAATGTAATGTACCATATTGCCATTTCGTCCATTTACAACCTAATGGTGATTCTAATATTCGAAATGATAATAAAATCCATACAGCCGTGCCGGAATAAAATGTCAGTTTCAAGATTACGGCTAGCCTCTTAGATAAATAGTCCATCGGCAAAATATCCTATACTTTGACCCAAAGAACATGATAAGCGTGTGTTTGTGACATGATTGTCAGATGTATATCGTGAATGACTTGATTATATATAGAATACTGATACGTAATCGGTATATAATCGGTAAGATTCGAAAACTTGATCACCCACTCGCATAACTTTAACATGAAGACTGTTTTTCTTTACGCTGCTGCTGTCTGTGTTGTGGTCTTTCTCTCAATAGGTAAGTATACCTGTCTGTATTGTGGTATATCTCTCAAAAGGTAGGTTCACCTATCCGTGGCGCCACCTAGCGCGTCATATAACTTGATGGATTTTCAAATTTAACGAGTCGGATCGCAATTCGACATTTCGGCTCTACCGAAAAATAGTCTTCTGTCTTGCTGTTTGATAATCATAATGAGGCCAAAATTAGAAATAAATGTTAAGTAATATGGTTTATCATTATGCGAAACGAAATTAGCAATACAATATATGGTTCCAACTAGTAACACCTGACGCTAAGGATTAGTATAACGATATATAGATCAATGCAAGGTAGAACATATTGCACCATATTGCCATTTCGTTTTTTAGGACTCGTTTTTGATTCTAATAATTTAATTGAATAATTACCTTATTATCATCAATATTACAATACACCTCCAGCACACACGCAGGTATACACCCATAGGGATATATTACCCAGCTGGCATAGGACCAGTGATTAGCACCTGATAAGGCAGCTCCTGCGAATTCCTCAAAATTGTATTGGTTAATGTATATGCTAACTGTATTAATTATATATATATGTATTGTAAAGCGCTTTAGAGTGGCTTATTCCAGCTAGATAGGGCGCTATATCAAATGTTTTATATTTAAATTCTACTAACTTATATATTTCTGAATTCAAAATATTAATTAAATTCCATGTCTTCTATCCGACTTCTAGGCCTGATGATCAGCTAGATTCACGGTTGGTGTTAAATGTAAACAAATACAATTTTTACTCTGAGGAATACCATAACCCTAAAATATTGTGTTGAAAGATACTATAAAACAATATTCTTGTCATTGGCTTCTCGATACACTTAAGACGGTGCTGGAATCCTCATAATATGTTTTTTTATAAGTTTATGATGGTTTGTTCATGACGTACTATTTTCTGAGGCAGGATACCGTTGTGTGGATGCTATTTCCGGTGCATGACACCTACTAGCGCGAGCACACATTCTCTTTTGAGAAAATCCACTCCCAAATGGGAATATTCATCCGCTAGTCGTTCTCACCTTCTTCTCGAATATTCTCGTTCTGGCAAATCATGACAATGACGTGTTCATGGTGCTGGTAGATGGTGTAACGATATAGATTATAGAATGCGCTCTAACACACCGCGTTTATCTGCGTGCATTGTGCCAAAACGCATTTCGACTCCCTGATCGCTTGTGCCCTAAAATGAAAACCCCAATCCTACATAACAAAACACAGCATTTTTTACGAATGACGCAAGTCTTGAGAAGATGTCAACAATAGTTACTATCTGTATGGAATAGTTTTAAAAATTACAGAAAAGGTTTTGAAAAATAATACAAGCCTAGTGTAAATATTACCGAAATAAATCAATAATACTCGCTTTTTATACTCCTTTCACAGATATGCCCCCCAAATATCAGTTTTAAAATTAATGGTTGAATAAACGGAAATCAAGACCATTGTGTAAGTTAATTTTCCAAAACCTTCCTCTCAGTCTTTAAACTTAAATACTCTGCGTTAGTTGTGCCCGCTCCGGATCATTGTATCGGGATACTTGCTGTGTGTAACAATTGTTTAGTCCTTGCAGCCACGTGCTCCAAGTATTAATTGAGTACATAAAATCGTTCGAATGCAAGTTTATCATCTCGAATTTTTGGCACATTAATGTTTCATTCATTTATGTAATAGTTCCTATATATTTCAACTCCTTAGTAGATTTCATTTCTCCATAATTACATGTGAAACCTCATGGATATCAACCCACTGTCATCGTAATAGTGGAAGGTGTAAATTGCGAGGTTCGTATAGTAATATCAACATTTGCTCTGTATCCTTCAGTTGCAATGCATTGAGCAGGCAAATGTTGTTGTGAGACTATAACAACATTTGTTATTGTAACGTCATCAATCTCTATTGTGACGTCACGTCAACAATTTTATTTCTGTCAAGACTTAATCTTCTGTTTAAAGAACTGTTCGAAATAAGTAAATAAAGCATAACTACTATATTAAAATGAAAATATAAATAATGAATATTTAACAAATACCGTTATAGTCCTATAACACACATTTCTATTGGTGACAAACTTATATAAAAAAAAACTACTTGGCAAGTTTGTAGCAATGTGTGTTGTAGGACTATAACAACATTTGCTAAAACATTCAAAGCTTAATTAACTTCAGCACAAACTTTTCTAACCGTCTTTTGCTGTGATATCAAAAGTGTGAAGTCGAATCCATTAGGATAATTTTGCCTTTTAATTTGGTAGTGAGTGTGACCGGGGAAAATTGCACCGTGGATGCAAATGAGTGTTCGCACCTGGTATGTGGAACCGGCTCTGTAGTATCCTGCACAGACAACCTTTGCACGTGCAAGCATCTGGATTTAAGTAAGTAGCTGAGTAAGCAACTCTATTACATAATTAAATGCCTAATAGTAAATTCATCGTTTTTTCACTGTGTTATATTTCATGGCTGCATATTACACTGCCTTGAATTCCACGACTGTAAATAACACCGCTTAAAATCGCAAAATTGCATGTAACACTCCTTTATATTACAAAATTGTAATTAACACTCTTTAATATAACAAGACAATACACAACACTTCTTTATATTACACGACTGTATATAACACTACTTTATATTACACAGCTGTACATAACACTCCGTTATATTACACAACTGTACATAACCCACCTTTATATTACACAACTGTACATAGCACTCCTTTATATTACACAACTGTACATAACACTCCTTTATATTACACAACTGTACATAACACTCCTTTATATTACACAACTGTACATAACACTCCTTTATATTACACAACTGTACATAACACTCCTTTATATTAAACAACTGTACATAACACACCTTTATATTACACAACTGTATATACCACACTTTCTATAAATAACACACAACTGTACATAACGCATCTTAATATTACACAACTGTACAAAACACACCTTTATATGACACAACTGTACATAACGCATCAATATATTACACAATTTTACAAAACACACCTTTATATTACACAACTGTATATAACACCCTATATATTACACAACTGTACATAACACACCTTTATATTACACAACTGTACATAACACACCTTTATATTACATGACTGTACATAACACTCCTTTATACTACACAACGGTACATAACACACCTTTATATTACACAACTGTACATAACACACCTTTATATTACACATCGGTACATAACACTCCATTATATTACACAGCTGTACATAGCAAAGCTTTATATTACACAACTGTATATAACACTTTACAATTATGGACTTTTGTGCTGGTGAATATGATGTGATATGAACCTGAAAGAGTGATATTGACCTCGTCTTCGCCTCAGTCAATATCACTCTTTCAGGTTCATATCACTTCATATTTACCAGCACAAAAGCCCATAACTGTTTTATTATATGCTTCAACAATAAAATAAAACAAAACAAAACTAAAGGTACTAATTTTTGTACGCGAGCCTCCGTGTATAATTTAGCCAGGTTTGAATACAACAATTCATCATTGTAGCTTTCGAAGGTATCGTCTAGATTCTTTTTCTTAAGATAAACATGGAGGACATGCACTGCTTGTTCAATGGCCTTTTTTTTACGTTAACAGCATCTTTATCCTCGAATAGTTTTGGAAATTTTCTGATGTAACGGAGGAGAAACGTTCGCCAGCAGCCATCTTCTAATGTCGTCTGACAGATCGCGCTTCAGTCTAACTGCGCATGCGCTACGACAGGCTATACTTAGACTTACACAACTGTACATAACACACCTTTTTATTACACAACTGTATATAACACACCTTAATATTACGAAACTGTACATAACACTCCTCTATATTACATAACTGTACATAACACACCTTTTTGTTACACAACTGTACATAACACACCTTTATATTACATAACTGTACATAACACACCTTTATATTACACAACTGTACATAACACACCTTTATATTACATAACTGTACATAACACACCTTTATATTACATAACTGTACATAACACACCTTTATATTACATAACTGTACATAACACACCTTTATATTACATAACTGTACATAACACACCTTTATATTACATAACTGTACATAACACACCTTTATATTACATAACTGTACATAACACACCTTTATATTACATAACTGTACATAACACACCTTTTTTGTTACACAACTGTACATAACACACCTTTATATTACATAACTGTACATAACACACCTTTATATTACATAACTGTACATAACACACCTTTATATTACATAACTGTACATAACACACCTTTTTTGTTACACAACTGTACATAACACACCTTTATATTACATAACTGTACATAACACACCTTTATATTACATAACTGTACATAACACCTTTTTGTTACACAACTGTATATACCACCCTATATATTACACAACTGTATATACCACCCTATATATTACACAACTGTATATAACACTCCTTTATATTACACAACTGTACATAACACACCTTTTTGTTACACAACTGTTATACCACCCTATATATTATACAACTGTATATACCACCCTATATATTACACAACTGTATATAACACTCCTTTATATTACACAACTGTATATAACACCACTTTATATTACACAACTGTACATAACACACCTTTATATTACACAA